TCATCTAGTTTGTCTTCATTAACCCTGATCCTTCATTTGGTTGAATTACGTTTGAAGTCTAAAAGTTTATTAAAAACAAAGGAATTAGTGTTCACTTGTGAGAAATAGGGAAGATCAGGTTCGGTTTATTGGGGCGGTTTTGGATACGTTTGAGAAAAGATTGGTAGTCCTTGGTGACGGATACCCCGGTATCATTGCACCATGCTTCAGCCGCCTTCCTATACACTGCTCGCCCATCGCGAGGTCGTTGTCAATCAAAGTGAACTTGTTCATTGGATACTCCACCTAAAATGAAGCTTTTCTTTCTCTCTACCTTCCTATGATGTATATCCCCATCTTATTACCTTAATACGTGCAAGAATGCTGGTCTCAGCCTCGTCTTTGCCGACTAGAGTGGAGTAGTGTCCGGAAAATTCTTCTGAAAGAACAAGAAAATAAACAAGATTTCTCTCTTCCTTACTTGTTGATTAAGACGGTGAAAGAGAGTGGCCGACTAGCAACGCTTTTTTTAGAAACGACAGAGCGAGAGTTGGATTATACATTTGATATGATAATACGGTATTGTGGGCTATCCTCTTCGTTGATGAAAACATGGATGGAAGAAAAGACAAAAGAAGAAGTGTGGTCAAGGAAACTTTCAACTCCTTTGAACATAGGACCTTTCCAGCCCACCTGTTCTACCAGACATCAATTTTCTATTTTCATTGGAATCTGTTGCTTCTTTATTTTGAATAATATTAGTTATAAAATGGGTTTCGGGGTGTTTCTTTGCCATTGGAGGAGGAGAAGACAACTTGCAAAAGCATCTCACTTGTTACTCTCTTTCTCTCACTCTCTCTTCCAATTTCATTTCAATCTTTCACTTGCTCACGCTGAGGAATGATCAAATCTCAGAGTTTCAATCCTCCTTCGATGTCCCACATATCTCCATCTTCTAATATCCCTTGCTCGAATTGAATATTCTGTTTCTATCATAGTGGTTATGTGGTGGGTGAGTAGTGTCCCAAGCATGATTGTAAGTATCTTACCATCATGCATGGTTTGCCTGCAATATTCGTAACCATGATGATGTAGCCCCCTTTGATCAAGCTGATTTGTAACAATACGAATGTTGTACCAACAAATGTACGAACTGCCAAGAGAATCACAAATCAACCAGGCAACATATTGTCTGTTCAGTGGAAATTTGGTGCTGCTGTGTAAGAACTTATTTCAATTACTGAGATCTGTGTATTTCACCGGTGTTTGTCCCGTAAGATGGATCTTTACGTTACTTCGCTGTATTGCTTGTCTATTTTGGGTGTTTGTACATTTACGCTCTTAATATATATGACGGTGTTTGTTCCTACCAAGCTGAGTGCTATGTTTCGCTCTGCCCTGATTGGGAATGGAATCGCGTAGGAGATTGGCATTTGGCGAGAGCCAGTATATCTCATATGGAAACATTTCAGGATATGTTCCTCTCAAATATTTTTCACGATTGGTTTTACTCCCACTTTTCCCTTGCCCTGCTTGGCTATCCATCCCAATGGAATCTTACGTTATCTGGGATTGAATGTTCATTTGCAACTGTTCATTCAAATATGGCTGACTTGTGGTAAACCTTCTTTTCTTTGATTCGTCTTGATCATGTTTTGCAGTGGCGATTTGGTTCATCACATTCATATGTCTTCTCAGAGCCATTGCCGTTTCAGTCAATCTGACAGAACAACTGAAGAAACGAATCATC